CTTCTAGAAATTTTTTGTGATTATTTCTTAATTTAATTTGTTTAATTTATTTAGTAAGTATATAGAAAAGAAGAGCACATAAAAATGGTATCAAAATGGTCCCACAAACGTGAGAAGAGCAACGACAGTCCGACTCCCTTTGAGCAAACATTTCTTCCGCCAGCGTTTCCAGTAAGACGTTAATTTTTTCGCCTGACCTAACCTCTCTCGGGACAACAATTGCACGTCTCCACGGACCATAATTACGCGAGAGTGATTAAAAGCCACGTGAAACAGAAGACTCCACCAGTTGCCCTTTATTCCTGCGCGCGGCTGTTTACACACGGACGCTCCTGGAATATCAAAGTCGAGGAGGAGTCAGCTGAAGAGACAATCCATCACGGCTGCCAAGACGACCGATCCAAAAAGGAAAGACCAGCAGCCATGACCTCGTCTATCAGACCATTTCCTCCTTCGAGCGACTACTACTACTACTACTGCTACCACCTCCAAAGGGAACGAAACTAGCCAGCACAGTTCTGAAAAGAGCCACCTGGCAGATTGTAAACTATAGACCGAGTGTGGCAACGTTCGAAAGGGGGGTAGAAGTAGGTAGAAAAAGGGAGCAAAAGAGAGAAGAAGAAAAAAAAACAACAATTTCATTGACCGTAAAAGTGACGACTCTGGCAACGAGACGACGTCGAGATTTTACGAGCCGGAGAAGAGTCTCGACACAAAAACGGTAACCAGCGCACACCAGTCTTGGACGTTTTTTTTCCCAAGGAGTGTCGGAGGATGGTACAGTGTTACCAACACACACGGTAAAAGTGGTGTGGTTATCACGTCTCTGCGGTAAAGCGAACGATAAATCACCTTTTCCTTCTTAATTACTCGCTTCACGCGGAGTAGTCCTTGCTAATTATTCCGCGGTCGTTTTTCACCCTTTTTTTTCCTCCTCTCTTCTTTCTTTCTTTCTTGTTTTCTTTCGTTCGTTCTCTTCAACGACGCCTCTCTCCTCGTGCATAATGTCGAGGAAACGTGAGTTCCATTCTAGTGGTAACAGTATGTTTGTATATAGTAACCGTTTGAGCGTGTGTACATTTTATTGGCTACTTGGTAATTTCCAGGTTCGACGAGCAAGTAGAAAGACGGTAATTCACAGGGATATAAATTTAAGTAACACCGTTATTATCCTGTCAGGTGGATATTAAACGGGATTTAATAAGATTGAATAATTTATTAGTAATGTTTGGTATACTATAGATAAAGTGGAATTACGGATTGTTTGATAAATATGTAGGCGATAAGGTTATCTTAAGGGATTGATGATAAAACTGAGGGTGCGAATATTTGAATGCACCGGATACTGAAACGCACCGAGTATTCGAAAGCTCCGAATATCGGAAGCCTTGAATATTCTAATGTACCGAATATGGAAAGCATCGAATATTTAAATGCGGCGAATACTGGAATGCACCGAAAATCGAAAGCCCCAAATATTCGAAAGCACCGAATATCGCAAGCCCTGAATATTTGAATGCACCGAATATCGAAAGCTTCAAATATTCGAAAGCACCGAATATTGAAAGCCCCGAATACTGAAGTGCACCGAATACTGAAAGCCCCGAATACTGAAAGCTCCGAATATAGAATTCACCGAATATCGAAAACTCCGAACATAGAAAGCTTCAAATATTCGAAAGCACCGAATATTGAAAGGCCCGAATACTGAAATGCACCGAATATCGAAAGCTCCAAATATCGAAAGCTCCGAATGCCGAAAGCCCCGAATATCGTAAGCTTCGAATATCGAATTCACCGAAAATTTGAATCCACCGAATATTCGAAAGCTCCGAATACTGAAAGCTCCGAATATTCAATCGAAAGCTCCGAATGCCGAAAGCTCAGAATATCGTAAGCTTCGAATATCGAATTCACCGAAAATTTGAATGCACCGAATATTCGAAAGCTCCGAATATCGAATTCGCCGAAAATTTGAATGCACCGAACATTCGAAAGCTCCGAATACTGAAAGCTCCGAATATTCGAATGCACCGAATATTTACATGCACCGAATATTCGAATTTCCTTGCTTCCAAAAATTCCACAGTCTGCCAGGGCAGACAAGTGTGTGAAAAGCTCTGATAAAAGTGAGAATAAAGTGACTCTCTGTTCCTAGATAAGAAGAAATTACGAAATCACTTTATTTCGTGCACGCTGTGTAATAACAGATAGAGAGAAGAGAAGCTATACTAAAACGATGAAACGTTCCATCATTTTCTTTCCACAGCTATCGTCAACTATACTCTGAATAGAAAAAAAACGCGTTCGTCACGCGATGCACCTAAATTAATACAAAGTTTCCCTCGTCGTGAAATTACTCCTTCGACCATCCGGTCGTTTCCTTTTTTTACCCAAAGCTATGCGTGTCCCGAGATTCAAAAGTGAGTTGAGAAACGAGCAGCGTGGAAGTAAAAAACATATAGTATATCGCTCGACGAGTGTTCCATCCTGTCTACATGTCAATCTGAAAAGACAGGCCGAAGACGTTCTAACAACGAGCAAGAAGACAGGCTCGTTAGTTGATTTTCATTAACGAACAAATATCTGTCTACGATCTATGGATCTCGGGCTGAAAACAAAGCTTCATTCACGCTTATTCCCTCGAATCTCTACGCGTCACGTTGTTAACCCTATCTGCTTCGATCTTCGGTGGAGGGAAAAAGAAAAGAAAGTAAAAGAAACACAGGAGATGCTGCGCAGCGGCCAGCCGCAGATAAAACCGTTTCCTCAATGAACTCATTGTTCGATGAAGAGAGGAAGAGAAATAAAAAAGAAGAGAGAATCCCCCCAGAGGCCGTTCACGGACGAAGCAAGGCTTCTCTCCTCCATTATCCTGATGGCGGTGGCCTGAAAATCGAACGATCCAAGCAATTTATATATTCTACGATCTACTGATTTTCATGCATCGCGATCGACGAGAGATTACGTCTGGAGCACTTGCTCGATACATTTTGCTTGGAATTTGAAGGATGTAGGGGAACTTGGAAATTTATTTTAGAGCATTTATTGATAAGAATTTTTTAGAGGACTGACGGTTTCACTGTGTGGTGTGTTGTAGTTTATACATAATTATCAGTGCGTCCTCGTTCGAATACATCGAATACTGAAAGCACCGAATATCGAAAGCCCCGAATATTTGAAAGCACCGAATATTCGAAAGCACCGAATATCGAAAGCCCTGAAAATTCGAAAGTACCGAATATTCGAAAGCACCGAATATCGAAAGCACCGAATATCCAAAGCACCGAAAATTCAAAAGCACCGAATATCCAAAGCACCGAAAATTCGAAAGCACCGAATATTCGAAAGCACCGAATATCCAAAGCACCGAAAATTCGAAAGCACCGAATATTCGAAAGCTCCGGATATTCAAAGCATCGAATATCGAAAGCACCGAATATCGAAAACACCGAAAATTCGAAAGCTCCGGAAATTCAAAGCACCGAATATCGAAAGCACCGAACAGTGAAATGCATCGAATATCCAAAACACCGAATATTCGAAAGCTCCGAATATCGAAAGCTCCGGATATTCAAAGCACCGAATATCGAAAGCACCGAATATCCAAAGCACCGAATATTCGAAAGCTCCGGATATTCAAAGCACCGAATATCGAAAGCACCGAATATCCAAAGCACCGAAAATTCGAAAGCACCGAATATTCGAAAGCACCGAATATCCAAAGCACCGAAAATTCGAAAGTACCGAATATTCAAAAGCACCGAATATCCAAAGCACCGAAAATTCGAAAGCACCGAATATTCGAAAGCACCGAATATCGAAAGCTCCGGATATTCAAAGCACCGAATATCGAAAGCACAGAATATCCAAAGCACCGAAAATTCGAAAGCTCCGGAAATTCAAAGCACCGAATATCGAAAGCACCGAATATCAAAAGCACCGAAAATCCAAAGCACCGAAAATCCAAAGCACCGAAAATTCGAAAGCTCCGGATATCCAAAGCACCGAATATTCGAAAGCTCCGGATATTCAAAGCACCGAATATCGAAAGCACCGAATATCCAAAGCACCGAATACTTGAATGAGAGATTTGAGGCTTTCGAGTGTACGTCGCGTCCAATAAGATAAGTTTCTCAACATTTCACTCTTTATTTTAAAAAGAGCGAACATCTTGACGCACATAATTATGTTTGTCCTCGGACACCTGACGAAGCTACCTGCAATGCTTGCGAAACCTTGAAAAACTTCACCTACTCTAAACAGCTAAAAATTTGTACGTATCAATCACGAACACCTTTTTCAGCATGCAGAAATAATTATCGGCTAGAAACCACGATATATTTCTCCATTAACCGAAGACATAATTTGTCAGCAGTCAACTACCGTGTCTACACTGAGTTTCTCTCTTTCTCTCTCTGTCAGCAAAA